CTCGCCTAGACTCGAATGGTTTCTTCCCCAATCACTTGGATTCGATTACTTAACATAAGCACACTCTAATCTACTCAATACAACACTCAAAACACTCACTTTCATATCAAGAAATCATCAAAACCCCAACACAACAAGATTTAGGATGAACTTCAAGAACACTTCTACAAGAACTCATCAAGAACTCTAATCTTTCAACTTCAAGAGTGAAATTTCGCTGAAAATAACATGATTGGCGTGTGGGTGAACGAGACCAACACTATGGAAGCTTACATACCTCTTAGGGATTAGACCCATGGCGAAAATCCACAACAAAACTCAAGAACCTCGACGAACGCCTTGATCCATTCCTCTTTTCTCCTCTTTTCTCTTCTTAAACTCTCAACTAAAACCCTAGATGTATATTAGGATTATGAAACTGAACCTAATAGGATTAGACCCTTAAAACCTTACTAAAAATGAATTAAATCTGATTTGGTAAGGAAAAGACCAAAATACCCTTTACTATTTTTGGGTAACTTTCGTTGACTCGACAACCTAACTTCAAAAGGGAATATCTCACTCATCCGACCTCGAAACTTAACAAATTACGGTGGCGTTGGAAAGATAATTCAAAGACCTTTCATTAAATATCTTTTATCCCACCTAACACATCATGTAGTAAGAGTTAGGTCATTTGAAGTTGACCCAAAACTCATAACTTAAGCGTAACTTGCAAAATTTCAGATTTTGCTATTTCCAATTTAGTTCTTTTTGGAAATCAAGGTGCTAAATTTAGTGACATGACCTTAATACTTAAGAAATTTTAAATTCCTTGGTAAAATCCTACTCACAACGAAGGATGGTTCGAGTCTTAGTTCAAAAAAATTCTAGGGTGTTACATAGACTATGACCGAAATTCCAAAGACACACCTAAACTTAACTAAAGTCCTATTACCCCTCTAAAATAATTTAAAATGGAATAAATACATCACAAATTCTGACATGTCATAGAGAGTGTGCACGCTCTCTTGAAGGCAAGTGATGAGTGCACAAATTGGACACATGTCATTTTTTGATTAGTAACTTTATAATTAGTTAGTACATATATATATTGATAATAAAACTTATATATATTTAATTATTTTTATTTCTTTCTTTGTAAAATATTTATTTTAATTTATTTATTATCTTTTCACTTTTAATTAATTTTAATAAATAATGTGTATTTTAAAAAAAAAACAATTTAAAAGTGTCCTTTAATTTTAATGTTATATTTTATTTTCTTCACTTATTTTGATATTCGTTCAAAATTAACTTATTTTAAATACAAGACATTTGAAAATCAAAATGAAAGACAAAGAAAATAAACTCAATAGAAAAATAAAAGAGAAAAACAATGAATGTAAGTAAAAAAAAAATCGTTTCTATACAAGGTAAAAAAATATGTATTAACTTAATTTAAATACAAGGTTATAAAAATAAGAATTTTTTTTTTAAGAATTTTTTTTCAAAAAAAAAAATTAAGAATATTTTTTTATTTTAAAAAATAATATTTACACACATGGCAGACGAGTGTGTACAAACACAACAAATTTGGGTGATTGAAGGTGCCACATCAGCACAAAAAGTGCACAAAAATACGGAAAAAATGAGTTTAGGAGGGTAATAGAATCTTAGTTAAGTTTAGGCGTGTCCCTGGAATTTCGGTTATAGTCTGGGAGGGGGGGGGGGTATTTATGCCTTATCCCAATTATATATGTACTAAGTTAAGAGCAAATTGAAGAGGACAACATCAGAAATATCAGTAGATGTATTTTGGTGAATATCTGATTTAAACTTGCAGAAAAAAATTCAAGAAAGCTATGGGGGGGAGAGCAATTTGAAAGAATAAGACTCTTTAGTTTTGCCGATTATTTTATTTTGTATTAGAACAATTAATACATAAAACATGCGTGCTCAACTGTTTCACTTTAGACAATATTAACCTCTATCAATATAGAACATACATGATAAGAGCAATTTTATGATCATCATTGCTTGATTGCACCATTTCTCTACACAATCTAGTACAAAATTAGGTTAAAACAAGTCAAGGATCTGGAATTGGGATACACAACTAAATGTGTAAGGCTGAATTGAATAACATTTTAGGTCATAAAATTAAGGAGAACAATTATTCTATCCATTCATTGAGGGGAGTTCATGCAATCTTAATCATCCCCAAGTCTAAACTATTCTTTTCAAAATGCTTCCTACTTAGTGTCAGAATCCATCAATTGTTGTCTGATTCATAGAAATTAAGAACAACGTGATCCAACAACCACATAATTTTGTGGATGAATCAGTTTCAAGATTCATTGTTCCCCCTATTAATGTGCCTTAGTCTGTTCAACAGTTGGATCAAGTGGTACAACATGTTTCAATGCACGCTCATTAGTTTCACTTTCATCCTCACCCTCTTTTTTGAAAAGATAATCTCACTTGCTTCCCCCTTACACATGCACTACATTCCAATTTTTTCTTTTAAATGACATATTCCCCATTTTTGTGAAGTGAGCGAAATAAACTTTTGTTTGTCTTCATTCATATCCCTTAAACAATCAATATCTATGAATTAAATCACTTGCTTCCTCTCAGCTTCACCGGTAAAATAGCTGAAGGGTTAGTCATAGGAAACCAAACAAGCTTGAGTCCATTCTTATGATCAAAAGGGTGAATCAAATTTCTTCTCGCCTATCTAGGCAACTTGTTAGTGGACCTGTTTCTGTCAACATGTATAATTCTATTTCCATTTGCCAATTTAGTATTTATTTTTCAAAAATCATTAGCACCTGGACATTCAGTAGTTGGATGACCAATTTTACCACAAATATAGCACGAATCTTCAGAGATAATATTTCCTTTATGGCATTCTATACTAGCCTTCTCATTGTGCACCCTATCACTCAATTTGTTGCAAATTCCAGAGGAATTAGTCCATCTATTAGCTCTTGCAGGGTCCATTTTCATCCTAGACACTTCTAGATTTAGTTTTTTTTTGCCTTATCTTTTTTGCAAAAAAATCAATTTTGCATTCTTTCATAATATGTTCTAATCTGTTCTCAGTATCATTTATCTTACCGTTTTGAATAATGGACAGCTTAAGAATTTCAGATTTTTAATTCAAGTTTGATGACTCAAGTTTATCACCCTGTTTCTTTAGAGAAAAAATTTCTTCTTTAGTTATAGTTTTGAAGTTTTTAAGATCCATGCTGTAACGACCCTTTTGGTCGTTTTGAGTACTAGAGCTTTTTATTTTATAAAATACTTTTCGATAGATTCTAAATGGGTATTTTGGACTATTCGTAACTACAATATAGAATTAGTGGGATAGTTTTAATAACTAATTTAGTTGATGGTTAAGAAAGATAATATTAAAATTAGTAAGTTTTAATATTTGTTAGTTCATAATTAGTTACCCTAGATACTTAAAAAGACTAACGAGAGAAACACTACCTGCGGCGTCAACCAGAAGCGACTGCCATCCAGGTAATGCTTCAACTCTTTGACTTCTTTAAGTAATATGTAATGGGTTTATATTAATTGGGTGGAAATCCTTGGAATGCATTAATTATCCATTTGTCTTATCTATTCAATTATGTTGTTTGTCTAATTTTAGTGAATGTTAGGCGATAATGTATGATTATTATTATATTATTGTAATTAGATGAGACATTGGAAAGAACGAGTATGCAGTGTTAGTTGAATTTTTGGATAAAATAAATGAGAAAGATCCTGGTAATTTCAGTTCTTCTATTGCTTTAAATAAATTATAATGGATTAGAATTAGGATGCCGAATGTTTATTGGTGGGTGGAGGAGTAATGCATAGTCTTTGGTAGTTATTGTTCAAGTATTAATGTGGTGATTCTTTTATATGTTGGAGAAATTTTATAGTTAATAATTAAGAGTACATGTCAGGCGAATTGCCTATAGGATCAAAGTTGATCACAGGAATTGGGAGTATTGGTTTCTGTGGCTCTAATGGTATTATATTTTGTTTGTTTTCCGTAATTGAGGTTACTGGAGATAGAACTTAACCTTAGGTTTTCATTTTTTTTAGTTATCTTATTTTAATTCAATTTTTGATATATTGAGTTAGGTAATTAAATATTAGGTGTATTATATTATATGACTTCCATTAAAGTTATAGACCTAACCGCTTGGAATTTAATAAATAGGAGACTTGACATATTAATTGAACTCAACATTTGGAAATTGTTTTTACATGATAGATTGGAAACATTCTGAGGCCTCGAGGAAAGGAAAAACATTGGGAAATTAGCTTGCGTGACCTCGATTCTTCGGTGAAGGTAGGTTATGGTTTATTCTATTTAATAGATAGACTCTTAATAGTGATTGATACGCATTGAGTGATATTGTGAAGTTCTCTATGTACTTGATTGTGTGGTTGTGTGGTTTGTGATTGGTCTGAAATCCTGAGACCGTGGACTTATAATCTTGAACCCCATCTATCGAAGTGATGCCTTGAATAAAGAAGGCTTGATGAACTATTGTTAATGAAGTGAAAAGTGGTAGATAAAAAATGATAAATTAATGACATTATTGGATCGGGTGTCAAGTTTCGGCATGGTATTATTAGATAGTGTGTCACGTTCCGACTATGGTATTATTGTATCGGGTGTCACGTTCCGGCACAGTAATATTAAAGAAAACATATATAAACAACGTAATGTACTCAATCTCAAAGAACTCAATTCCCAAAATCGCTTGGTTTGGAGGAATGATTCCTCAAGTATGTTCTTGATATTGTTGACTGATTACGTACTTACTTTAGTGTTGTTGTCACTGGTTCATGTTGTTTATTTCTTACCACGTGCTAAGTGTCGTAGTTGATTTCATACTATTATTCATTACATATTAGTTTCAATTTTGGGTTGGCCGATGATACCTACTCGATACATGTTCCTTGTACTGACCCTTACTTGTGTTTTCTTCGTTTTCTTTTGTGGAGTGCAGCAAGTGTACCATCGACTTCGACTCACCCTTAGCTCTTGCCAGTCTTCAGCTCATCAAATTTCAGGGTGAGCTACTCCTTCTAGCTCGTGATGGATTATCTCGTTCATGGCATGATATCGTTAAATTTCGAACATAGACAATCTTTTTTACTTATTTGATGTCTTTAATACTCTTAGACTTGGTATTTTGAAAATAGATGTCTTTGATGTGATGACTTTCAGGTTTTGGGGATAATATGTAATAGACTTTAGAGGTTTATTTGATTGGTTACTTTAATAAGATTTGAGCTTTCGCATTATTGTTGTTTTTCGTAGTTGAATTATTGATATATGTTAGGGTTTGGATTCCTTGGTTCACCTACTTAGGAGGTTAAGTGTGGGTGCCACTCACGACTCGTTTTGGGTCGTGACAAACTTGGTATTAGAGCCTTAGGTTCGGTGATCTCATCACACAAGGACATGTCTCGTAGAGTCTTGCGGAATTGTACGGGGTCGCCTTTACTTTTCTTCGAGAGGCTATAGAAATTTAGGAAAACCCCATATTTTTATTTCCTTCATGATATTACTTGAATCGAATTGGTATCTAGGTGATACAAATTGGTATCTGACCTTCGTCACTCTATTTTGCAGATACTCAGAACTAGAGCAACAGTTATGGCAACACCAACACCGACATGATGAGGTGCCCCTGAGCCAACCATTGGGGCAGTACCTCAAGGGGGAGCAGTGGTTAGAGGCCGTGGTAGAGGTCGCAAAAGAAGAACCACCAGAGGCATAGAACAATCACCTTGTCCAACTAGGGATAGAGTAGTGACCCCTCCACCGGCTGACGAGGTAGCAAGAGAGGGTGATGAGGGGGAAGATGAGCAAATTCAAGAGAAGGAAGCACCACCCTAACCTACACAAGAAATGATTAATCAGGTTCTTAATTATCTCAACGGATTATCTGATCAAGGCCAGGCACCACCAATGTTTTCTGCACCCGCACCTCAGGTTCAAGGAATACAACATGCCACTGTTGTGACTCCCTGCATGGATGCGTCCTTGGAAACAAATACGTTTCCCCGATTTACTACATGGCCTATAATGACTAGTGACCAGCATGACCTCTTTATTAAGTTCTTAAAGTTGAAACCTCCCGTCTTCAAGGGTACTGAATCTGAAGATGCTTATGATTTCCTGGTTGATTGTCATGAGCTGTTACATAAGATGAACATAGTGGAGTGATTCTGTGATGAGTTTGTGACCTACCAGTTTCAAGGGGATGCCAATAAGTGATGGAGGTCTCATGTTGAGTGTCGACCAGCAAAGGCACCACCTATGACTTGGGCATCATTTTCTAGCTTCTTCATGGAGAAGTATATACCCCCAGACTTTGAAGGACATGAAGAGAGATGAGTTCCTGAACATAGAGCAAGGAAGGATGTCTGTTGCAGCTTATGAGGCCAAATTTCGTGCATTATCCAGGTATGCCACTCAGCTTTGCTTCAGTCCGCAAGAGCAGATTCGCCGTTTTGTAAAGGGTTTGAGGTCAGATTTGCAGATTCCAGCTTTACAGGTAGCTGCTTCTGTAAAATCTTTTCAGGAAGTGGTTGATTTTGTGATAGAGGTAGAGAGGGTACAGCCGGATGACTTCACCAAGGTGTCAACGTTTAAGAAGTTCCGTAAGGGAGGTGAGTTTAGTGGTTCGTACTCCAGAGGGCAGAGTTTAGGGAGATATCAACCCTGTCCTATTCAGTCTTATTGCAGTCTTCAGCTGAGGGTCCGTCGTAGATCAGTCATCCTTTTTCTGAGTTTGGGGGTTATCTCCAGTCTTCTTTATCTTCACAGAGACCTACACTCGACTCCAGGACTTGTTATGGATGTGGAGAGGCCGGACATATCATGAAATATTGTCCAAAGAAGAGTCAGGCTCAGAGTTACAAATCCCCAGAAGCTAGAGGTAGAGGTGGTCATGGTAGAAGCTGTCATTCTGGAGGACATGATGGCCAAGGTAATGGTGGTCACCAGTTTAGCCAGGGTGGCGGGAAAGTTGGAACTATTGGAGTGCAGCCCGGCAGGGGCAATGGATAAACAGGTGATAGGGCTCATTGTTATGCGTTCCCCGGGAGGTCAGAGGTAGAGACATGTGATGCTCTTATCACAGTTACTTTTCTGGTATGTGATCGCATGGCTTATGTATTGTTTGATCCTGGATCCACATTTTCTTATGTATCTTCCTCGTTCGCTACTAGTCTTGATTTGCATTATGATTTGCTTGACATGCCTATTTGTGTCTCTATCTGTGATAGTTGAGAAGGTGTATAGGTCTTGCCTTGTGGCTTTTATGGGGAGCAATACTTATGTATATCTGATTATTCTAGAGATGGTTGATTTTGATGTAATTTTGGGTATGACTTGGCTTTCTCCAAATTTTGCTATCTTAGATTGTAATGCTAAGACTGTGACTTTGGCCAAGCCTGGGATTGATCCACTAGTGTGGGAGGGTGACTTTAACTTTATTGGCACATCTCAAGGATGATACTTCCAAAGTGCCTTCGATCAAGTCTGTTTCGATAGTCTGTGAGTTTGCGGATGTCTTTCCTGCAGACTTTCCCAGTATGCCACCAGATAGAGACATTGATTTTTGTATTGACCTGGAGCCGGGGACTCACCCTATTTCCATTCCACCTTATAGAATGGCCCCAATTGAGTTAAGGGAGTTAAAGGCCCAACTTCAGGAGTTGTTAGGTAAAGGTTTTATTAGACCGAGTGCATCTCCTTAGGGTGCTCTAATTTTATTTGTGAAGAAGAATGATGTTAGTTTTCGAATGTGCATAGACTACATGCAGTTGAATAAGGTAACTATTAAGAACAAGTATCCCATTCCTTGCATTGATGACTTGTTCGACCAGTTACATGGTGCTTGTGTCTTCTCGAAAATTGATTTGAGGTCCAGTTATCATCAATTGAAAATGCGGGCAACAAACATGCCAAAGACTGCTTTTCGAACCAGGTCCCACATTATGAATTCTTAGTAATGTCTTTTGGGCTTACGAATGCCCCTGCTGCTTTCATGAGCCTGATGAACGGAATTTTTAAGCCATATTTGGACCTCTTCGTTATCATATTTATTGATGATATACTGATATATTTAAAGAGCAGGAAGGAACATGAGGAGAATTTGAGAATTGTATTGGGGTTGTTAAGGGAGAAAAGGCTTTATGACAAATTATACAACTGTGAGTTTTGGCTCGATTCAGTGTCCTTCTTGGGGCACGTGGTTTCTAAGGATGGAGTGATGGTGGATCCCACTAAGATTGAAGGAGTGAAGAGTTGGGTAAGGCCTATTAATGTTTCAGAGGTAAGGAGCTTCGTTGGTATAGCTAGCTACTACCGCCGATTCATCAAGGGATTTTCTTCCATTGCTTCCCAACTGACTAACTTGACCAAGTAGAATGTTCCCTTTATATGGTCAGATGAGTGTGAAGAGAGTTTTTTAAAACTCAAGACCTTGTTGACTACTGCGACGATTCTTGCTTTTCCTGTGGAAGGTAAGAATTTCATTGTTTATTGTGATGCATCTTATTCTGGTTTTGGTGCAGTGCTAATGCATGAGAGGAATGTAATTGCCTATGCTTCAAGGCAATTGAAAGTTCATGAACATAACTATCCGACCCATGATTTGGAGTTGGCTGCGGTTGTGTTTGCATTGAAATAGTGGAGACATTATCTATATGGGGTCAAGTGTGAAGTGTATACAGATCACCGTAGTTTACAATATGTGTTCACTCAGAAGGATTTGAATTTGAGGCAGAGGAGGTGGATGGAGTTACTAAAAGACTATGATATTTCTATTTTATACCACCCAGGGAAAGCTAATGTTGTGGTAGATGCCCTAAGTAGAAAAGAAGGGAGCATGGGTAGTTTAGCCCACTTACAGGTTTCTAGACGCCCATTCGCTAGAGAGGTTCAAACTCTGGCTAATGACTTTATGAGGCTGGAAGTACTTGAGAAAGGAGGATTCTTGGCCTGTGTGGAGGTAAGATATTATTTTCTTGACAAGATTAAGGGAAAGCAGTTTGATGATGAGAAGCTGAGTAGAATTCAAGATATGGTATTGCGATGAGAGGCTAAAGAGGTTCTGATTGATGAGGAAGGCGTCTTGAGAATTAAGGAGCAGGTATGTTTACCCTGTGTTGATGATTTGACCCATACTATCCTTGCAGAGGCTCATAGTTTGAGGTATTCTATACATCCTGGTGCAACCAAGATGTATCGTGATGTGATACAACATTATTGGTGCAGTAGAATGAAGTGTGACATTGTTGATTTTGTTTCCCAATGTCCGAATTATCAACAGGTAAAGTATGAACATTAGAGGCCTGGAGGGACACTTCAGAGAATGCCCATTCTTGAATGGAAGTAGGAAAGAATTGCAATGGATTTTGTGGTTGGTCTTCCAAAGACATTGGGTAAGCTAGATTATATATGGGTAATTGTTGACAGGTTAACTAAGTCTCCTCACTTTATTCCGGTCAACATGACTTACAATGCAGAGAAGTTAGCTAAACTCTATATCCGTGAAATTGTTCAATTGCATGGAGTTCCAATTACCATCATATCAGATAGAGGTACACAATTTACTTCTAACTTTTGGAGGACCTTGCATGCTGAATTAGGTACTAGATGGATCTTAGTACCACATTTCATCCTCAGATCGATGGTCAATCTGAGCGAACAATTCAAGTGCTAGAGGATTTGCTTCGTGCATGTGTGATAGATTTTGGTGTTCATTGGGAATAGTTTTGTTGTTAGTTGAGTTTACATACAACATCAGTTATCACTCGAGTATTGATATGGTCCCATTTGAGGCATTATATGGGAGGAGATGTAGGTCTCCCATTGATTGGTTTGATGCAATCGAGGTGAGACCTTGGGGTACCGATCTTTTGAGAGAATTATTAGAGAAAGTAAAATTCATACAAGCTCAGAGCAGGCAGAACGAGTATGCAAATCGGAAGGTCAGGGACTTAGAGTTTATAGAGGGTGAGAAAGTCTTGCTGAAGGTTTCACACATGAAGGGTGTGGTGCGGTTTGGTAAGCGAGGTAAACTTAGTCCGAGGTATATTTGGCCATTTGAAGTTCTTAAGCGTGTGGGGAAGGTGGCCTATGAATTGGCCTTGCCTCCATGGTTGTCCCGGTATTTCATGTGTCCATGCTGAAAAACTACCACGGTGATGAAAACTATATTATTTGTTGGGATTCGGTCCTGCTTGATGAGAATCTGTCTTATGAGGAAGAGCCTGTAGCTATTTTAGATAGGAAAGTCCGCAAGTTGAGGTCGAAAGATATTGCATCTATCGAGGCTCAGTGGAAGAATCCCCCAGTTGAAGAGTCCACTTGGGAGAGTGAGGCTGATATGCATGAAAGATATCCACACCTTTTTTGTCGATTCAAGTACCCTTTCTTACCCTCACCTTCTTTTGATCATTTGAGGACGATTGATGGGTAAATTGGTATCTAATGTAACGACCCTTTTGGTCGTTTTGAGTATTAGAGCTTTTTATTTCATAAAATACTTTCCAATAGATTCTAAATGGGTATTTTGGACTATTCGTAACTACAATATGTAATTAGTGCGGGTAGTTTTAATAATTAATTTAGTTGGTGGTTAAAAAAGATAACATTAAAATTAGTAAGTTTTAATATTTATTAGTTCATAATTATTAACCCTAGATAATTAAAAAGACTAACGAGAGAAACACTACCTGCGGCGTCAACCAGAAGCGACTGCCATCCAGGTAATGCTTCAACTCTTTGATTTCTTTAAGTAATATGTAATGGGTTTATATTAATTGGGTGGAAATCCTTGGAATGCATTAATTATCCATTTGTCTTATCTATTCAATTATGTTGTTTGTCTAATTTTAGTGAATGTTAGGCGATAATGTATGATTATTATTATATTATTGTAATTAGATGAGACATTGGAAAGAACAAGTATGCAGTGTTGGTTGAATTTTTGGATAAAATAATTTGAAACTTAATGGGTAATGAGTGCTCAGGGGCAGTGAAACAATTGGAAAGATTGGAGGTACTGTATGTGGTTGTAAGGTATGATATGAAGCTGGCAACCATTAATCTGTAGTCTGTACAACAAAGTCATGGCTCATTGTATGATGTGGATTTCGTCCTTATTATTTTGATGGTTATAATATTATAAATTAAGTTTAATATATTACGGTAGGTAATTAAATATTGAGTGTAGTATATTATTTGAATACCATTAAGGTTATGTTATTCAAAGAAATAAAGACTTAACCTTAGGCTTGAATATAAGAAATAGGAGTCTTGGCGTATTAATTGACCTCAAGATTAGGAATTTGAATATAGAATTGTGTTTGATGATTTTTGGGTCTAGGCTATACATGAAGTAATATAAGTGTCTATAGACTCGTTAACTTACGAATTACGCATACTTGATAGATTGGAAAGGTTCGGAGGCATTGAGGAAATGAAAAGCATTGGAGAAGTAGTTTTCTTGAATTCGCTTCTTCGGTGGAGGTAGGTTATGGTTTATTCTATTTAATAGATAGACTCTTAATAGTGTTTGATATGCATTAAGTGATATTGTGAAGTTTTCTATGTACTTGATTGTGTGGTTTCTGATTCGTCTTAAATTCTGAAATCGTGAACTTATAATCTTGCACCCTCTCTATCGAAGTGATTCCTTGAATAAAGACGGCTTGATGAACTATTGTTAATGAAGTGAAAAGTGGTGATAAAAAATGATAAATTAATGACATTATTGGATCGGGTGTCAAGTTTCGGCATGGTATTATTAGATAGTGTGTCACGTTCCGACATGGTATTATTGTATCGGGTGTCACGTTCCGGCACAGTAATATTAAAGAAAAACATATATAAACAACGTAATGTACTCAATCTCAAAGAACTCAATTCCCAAAATCGCTTGGTTTGGAGGAATGATTCCTCAAGTATGTTCTTGATATTGTTGACTGAATACGTACTTACTTTAGTGTTGTTGTCACTGGTTCATGTTGTTTGTTGCTTTCCACCTGCTAAGTGTCATAGTTGATTTTATACTATTATTCATTACATATTATTTTCTATTTTGGGTTGGCCGATGATACCTACTCAGTACATGT